AATCTGTACATTACAGTTTTAGCTAGCATAAATGGAAATGTAGAACTTAAAAGCAAGGCAATTAACAGCCAATTGCTTAACCAGACCATGCCCAGAATAGGGGTCCAGTCATGAGGACCATGTTTTAAAAAGAGTATTGTCAAATTCAAGTGGAACGGTAATGCCTAACACATCTAGACACTGTGTCACTTGAGTTTCTTTCCCTGACCCAGATCTTTCCCCTAAGCTCCCAACCATGGCTAACATATAACCTAGCACCTATACTTGACATTTATAAACCTTCTTGCTGAAATCTGAACTTTCCTGTGTTCTCCAATTAGTGTTAGCCAAACCAAGAACCTTAGGAGTTTTCATAGCCTCCACCTTCTCTCTTACTCCACAATTTCCACTCAATCCATCAGCAAATCCATCCTTTCTCCAGAAACTCTCTTGAATAGACTTACCATTATCTCTTGCATGAATACTTCTATATTCATTAATCAACCTTTCTGTTTTGATTCCATCTCTAACACCTCTAATGTACTGCTTATATTAGGGATTTTTAAAGTCTTTCCAAAATATAGGTTATGACTCATTATTAAAATAAACTTAGTGAATAATTTTTAATGGAATATATTAGACTTCATATTAGAAAATTTTAAATTATTGTACATAGTAAAATAATATATTGCTCTGTGAAATTTTTGTTTCAAATACATACATGTTCGTGTGTGTACCACTAATCATTAGGGAAATGAAAATCAAAATAATAGTGAGGTATCGTTTCACATCTGCTAGAATTACTAGTATCAAAAAGATAAGAGATAGTTGGTGGCAAGGATGTGGAGAAAAGGGAACCTCAGTACATTAATAGTGGTAATGTCAATTGGTATAGCTACTATGGGAAGTTACATAACCAGTATGAAGTATCCTAAAAAAATTAATGAGATGGAAACTGGAGAACAAGAACACAATGAAGCTAAGGAACAGAAAGAAAAATGAATCTCTAGAAACAAGATGCTAAGAGAGTTGTGTGACAACTCCAAATGAAACAATATTCACATAATAGAGGTAACAGAAAGACAAGAGAGAAACAAAGTCTCTTTGAAGAAATAGTTGCTGAAAACTTCCCCAATTTGGAGAAGGAAATAAAACACCCAGGTCCTGGAAGCACAGAGAGCCCCTAACCAAAGGAACCCCAGGAAGACAATGCCAAGATACATAATAATTAAAATGATAAAGACCAAGGATAAAGAGACGGTATTGAAAGCAGCTATAAACAGGCAAAAATCATCTTTCTGGTTGACAGATAGCAACTGCACTAGTTGGGGGTGAGGATTTAATACTGTGGGTAACTGTTGAACCACTGTGTTATACATTTGAACCCAATATAATATTGTATATCAACTATAGTTCAATAAAAAATGAATTCTTTTAACTCAGTAATAAAGCAAATGGCCCATTTTGCTTTAAATAGGGAAAATATTTTAAGATTATTTTATCCTAGAAGATATATATGTAGATGGAAAATAAATACATGAAAAGATGCTCAACACCATTAATTATTAGAGAAATGGAAATCAAAACCACAATGAAATAACATTTTCACTGGAATCACTAAGAATAAAAATACTGACATTATCATGTATTAGCAAGAATGCTACCAAGTAGAACTCTCAAAGAGTGTTGGTGGTAATAGTCAAATGCTGCAACCACTTTGGAAAACAGTTTGGCAGGGTGTTTTTTAAGTTAAACATACAGCAATCATTACATTACCCAGTCATTCCACTCTTTTGTATTTACCCAAGAGAAAAGAAAGTTTGTGTACATACAAAGACTTAATATGACTCCTAAGGGCTTTACCTACAACAACAAAAACTGGACTGCACATGGCTATCAAAAGGTAAATGCATAAATTGTGGTCTATCCATACAAAGGAATACTACTTGGCAAGATAAAAAACAAACTGTTGATACACAGAACAGGGATGGATTTCAAAATAATGATGATGAAAGAAGCTAGAGAAAAAAGGTGTATAGACTGATCCCATTTATGTAAGATTTTTTAAACTGAATACATCTATAGTCGCAAAAAGCAGATCAGTGATTGTGGGGTGGTGAAGATTGAGAAGTACAAGAGGCAAGGATTTCAAAGTGGGAAATTCTTGGAGATGATGACATGTTTATTATCTTGACTGCAACGATGGCTCCTGGATGTAGACACAGGTCAAACTAATCAAACTGTACACTTTAACTATGTACAGCTTATGTCAATTGTCTCTCTCAATAAAGCTATAAAAATTACTTGTCCTATGACCCATTCATTACAGGCCTATGCGGAAAAGTGGCAAGTAAATTAACACCAAATGATATACATTTTCTGGCTGGGAATATTCAGTGTTTTGCTATAGAAAAATACATTGCCAAGCATATCATCTGGAGCTCAGAACAGTCCAGCACTTATCAAGTCATTCTACAGAAAATTGCACACAATACTCTCTCTTTGTGTGGGGCATGGCCAGATGCAGGAAAGGGGGAAAACTTAATTGGCTTATATGTTAAATAGTCACATTAACAGCACATGGTTTATTTGTTTTGATAATCACTTACCTCAATTTGTCATTTAATTCAGGAACCTGAATTTTAACTGACGGTTCTTCTAAACCTGAAGAATATTCATGTTTTGAAGAAACTTCTGTTGGGGAGGAAATTTCCTCTACCCCTTGAGGTTCTTCTAGCCGGTGTAAAAATCAAATTGACATGAGGCAGATTAACAGGAGAAAAAAAAAAATTAATTATAGACATCCAGGGAAGCCAAAGACATGGGTTCCAAAGACAGCCAGGGACAGTGACGTCTATATGTCATGCTGTGCCAAGGAGAAGTGGGTGGGGTCTCAGGGCTTCAAAGGAGAAGGGAAGTAATTCACAGGAATATGAAAAGAGTAAATGTTTCATACACAAATGTTTGTTAGGCCACACAGAAACAATGAGGGGGCACAAAGAGGAATTTTAACTTAGCCACACCCCTCCCTGGCTACCACTTCTAATTTACATTATAATACAGCTGTCTGGTGATAGCTCTCTTCCCTGAAGCATTTCCTCTATCTAAATTCTTTTTATGCATTTGGTGGGTAAGAGGTCAAAGTCTCTTTCTTAGTCTTTTGGGCCTTGATTGTTCTCAACTCTGAAATATTCTGCATGTCACAATGGCACATCCTGGGGCAGCCTTCCCTTGGTCCCCACACTGACAATCACGAAAACTAAAAAAATTATTACGTTCCTCAAGTAAGCATTTAAGTGTACTACTCAAGTGTTATTTATAATTTTTTAAAAACTGACCTTGTGTATTGTCCAGTTTCAATTTCTCATGTGAACTATCAGCTGTATTTGTTTGCTGTAGAAAAATTAATTTTTAATTAAATAATTCAATTTTTAAAATATTTTATTTTAATTTAAAATATTGCAAGTCCAGGGAGAGGAAATCCGGGGGCAAAATACCTCTAAAAACCGAAATCAGTCAAAGGGAGAAATAAAGTTTAAAAACCCATTTAGTGCTTACAAACTGAATTCCTAGGCCTTCTCTCTCCTGCTCTGGCTGAAGCAAAACCACCCCTCCCCTCTCCTCTCGGGTACAGCAGGTACAGATAAGCCCTCCAGTTGCCCAGGTAATTATCCATTGATATGGAGATGAACTTCTCTCCACCCCTGAGGAATGATGCAAATGCATGAAAGCCATACTTCTCTCCACCCTTGAATGCCTGTTGATATGCACATGTTCTAAAGCCAGGTGAGATATTCTGGAAATATTACAATTTTACCCACAAATATAAATTTAAAATATTTAATTATGTAAAGAATATTTACTATTAATTGTGACACTATCATCATGCTTCTGTATGATGCATCCATGTAATCAAACATCAAGAAAATAAGGAATACTGATAATATGACAGTGTGCTGGGTGTCTTACATATTGTTTTTAACCCTAAGAGAACCACACCATGAACCCTCTATGACCTCTTTTTTATAGATGAGAGGCCTCAGACTCAGTGATATTAAGCATTTTTTCCAAATTCCAATAGCTTGTAAATGAAAACCAGATCTGACTCCTAACACTAGGCTCTTGTAGAGAAAAATGAAAATTTCTGACCAGGATTCCCGCCTGCCTTAGCAGTACCCATTGTATGTGTATGTGTGTGTGTATATATACACATTGTATATATATATAATGTATGTATATATATAATGTGTGTGTGTGCGTGTGTGTGTGTGTATATGAGCCTGTTTGCTCATCTACGGGATGTTCACTGTGGATGCAGTGGCTGGTCAGTCATGGGAACACCCACCCAGGGGTGGGGTGAAGAGGAAACACCCATTCTCTCCTCTCCTCAGCTCCTGGTATATGATTGGTCAGCTGACTGCCAGTCACCAGAAATCCACTCACAGAGTTCCTCCCAGTGCTAGGGGTGGGGAAGCAGAGAGCTGGGAGAACAGGGAGAGAGTGGTGCAAGACTGAAGGCCTGCAGGGAGAACTAGGGGAGGGCCACAGCTGGCAGAGGGAAGCCGTAGAGCCCCGGTGCCTGGGGAGGATTAAGTCTGTGTTGGGGAGCAGGAGAGAGCAGCACCAGGAGACACTGCAACCTGCTTCTGTGAGAATAAATGTGGTACCCCTTTTAAAATGCCCAATTTTTTGCCCTTGCCTTTATTTGGTCTCACCAAATTCATAGGGAGCTTGCCTCCAGCAGGAAATGCCCTCCTCCTGTAGCAACAGTTCTTTTCCCTACTGTTAAGTCCAGATCCCAAATGAGGGAATGAGCAGGGCCAGTCAAGTCATGCATCCCATGGGAGAGCCAAGTGGAGAGAAAAGGAACACACAAGCATGACAGGTGAAAATAGTCTAAAGGAGGGGGTGGCTAGGAGAGAGATGGTTGGCCAGGAGAAAACAGACCTCCAGCCAGGAAAGGCAGCTTCTGTCTATCAGCATCCTTGTGGACACAGTTCAGAACTTGTCCCCATACTCACAGCAGGCTCTGCCTGGTCACTTGAGGGGACAGGTCTTTGGCAGTGGTCATCTCCAGCACTCATTAACTCTGCCAGATGAGTAGATTCTTCTGCCAGCTCTACAGACATTACAGAAAGAACATTTAAAAATGGTAAATAGCACCATGCATAATGGTGGCCACATCCTCCAATTGCTCTTCATGGGACCCATACTTCAGATACATGGCCATCTTTTGGGAAGACCCGGTCATTAGGTTCTGCCTCTAACCTTCAATCAGAAATCTATGGGCACTTTAAAAACAGCACTGGGGTGTAACTCATAAGAAATACATGCTCTGTGTAGGTACAGCTTTGTGGGTAGACGGAGCTTTCCATGTCCCCACATCCTGCCTCTGGCACCTCTTATCATTTTTTCTCCTTTGTCATTACAATTGACCCACCAGAGAGACCGTATCATATGGGGGAAATGACTCATGGCAATTAGCAGCAATTTCTGTCATAGGTACAGTAGTACATTGATAACTCTTACATGGCCATAGGTTTTCAGTGACCTCTTACAAGTAAGTTTTATCATTGTTCTTATAGGGAATCCAGAGTAAGAAACTTCATTTCCCAATATACCTGTCTCTCTTTCATGGCTGCTAGGACGCTCAGTGTCTTCTTCCCTCAATTTACCAGGAAGTTCTGAGGAGTTTGCTTGGTCAGGCAACATCTGAAATGCAAACCAAAGCCACATGACTTTTAAAAGGAGTCCAAGATTTTTAAAGGAAAACATAAAGCTCAGAATATAGCACACTAATAAATAAGTCAGTCTTCAGTTTGTCCTTGTCATTTTACTGTTTCCAGCTGATCTAGCCACCTCCTTCCTCCAGGACTAAGCTCTGCTGCCTTGCCCTGCTCTCTGCCTCTGCATCCTGGTGCTTCCAAGGCCTCCCCTTCCTCTGATTCAAGCCTGAGCACTTGTTAACCTCTAATCCCCACTTCACACAAAGACTGAACCTCTCAGGATAAGTCTGCTTTGAGGTCCTGCCTATAGGCTCTCTCCAACGCCACCCTTTTCTCCCAAGGTCCTCACAGTCCAGAACTGCAACTTAACTGCATGCAAACCCCATTCTCTTCCGAAACATTCTATTCATTGTGTGAAACTTAGAAACACATAAAATTCTGATGTTTTGCATGAGTAAAGTCAAACCTATAGGGTCAGGCCAATTCATATGTAATATGATGTAGGAGGGGTTTTTTTGTTAAGTGATTGTCTCTGTTTCTCATCCTCATCCATGAAATGGTCTTCTCATGGGGTGAGTCTTTGGACACTATATTGCAGAGTATTTTACCTTATAGTATAAAATGCCTTCATATACAACTCATTGCCAAAAGGAAACCAGCCCTAGGCTTCCTCTCTCAGGTGTCTGACCTCTTAATTGGCCTTTACCCTTATTGGCCATTATTACAATATTTTATGTCTTCTGTCACAAATTTCTCTGCTCTATCTTCTGTGATAAAGGCTTCATGCTCATATATACAAGGCGTATATATATATATACACAAAACATATATACTTGCTATAAATACAATTAATATTGTATATAAATAGAAAACACTGTAGTCGAGATGGAGACCATCGCAGTCTAGAAGAGGCTCAGGCCATTTCCATGAGAAAAGACCAATAGATCAAACTTGGAAAAACTCCCTGAGAGAACCTGTTCCTCTCTGCTCTTATACATGGTATTCAAAGGATCAAGCCTTCTGCTTGCTCAAATGTTCACATGAAAAGCCAACAAGGAAATTTAAGAGATGTGAAAATATACTAAACATTTTCAAGTACTCACAAAGAACTAAACCTCCCACCTGTTTGTCTTCTCCTAAAGCTTTAATGGAAGCTTGTGATATGTTGAATTGCAAATCAAAATGGATTTCTATTTTCATCACTTCTTTGTTGCTGATATCAATAGGCTTCTTCAGGTTAATGATGAGCATGTTCATCTTTTCCATTTCTAACAAAAATTATACAAATGTGTATCAACACATTGCAAGTTTTATAATTTTAATTAACTATAGTGGAATGCTTGTCCACTGTCCAGATTTTTTGGCAAAAAGTTGAAAAGAAACTGAATTATATAAAACAACTTCAAAATTATTTTTTATTAAATGCACATCATTGTCTCTATTATACATACAAACACAAAATATGATTAAGGTGTTGATCTTGCAAAAACAGGAAGTAACTTATTTTAGCAGTGAAGCAATGAAGATGGTTTTAACTTCCAAAATTCAATCCATTTTTTAAAGAGCATTTTGTGAATTCAACACTATCATCTGCAACAGGTATTTTACTTCCCAAAATATTAAGCACAACATTCAGTCTCATTCTTTCTTTATCTCTCAGATACCACTCATTTCTAAAAGTCATAATAAACTTCACTGTTTCCCAATGCATTTAAAAAGGAGGAATGGAAACATCCTAGAACAAGGGGTATTTCTCCTTGAGGGGTCCCACCAGGACATTAGCCCTTTACTGACAAATAGTCACAGTTTTAGAAGAGAAAACAGTTTAGACTAAAATCAGATAGAGTCCAAGAATAAGCCACAATAAGTTCAAGCTGAGCTGGAAGCAGTGGGAGAGAAAAGAGAGTAAAGTTCATGAAAGAGCAGGCAAAGCTAATGCCTGCAAACTGATGAGAATGGAGAGAGGAAAAAAGAGCAACACAGACATGGGTCTGGATCTGTGGCCATCAAGTACTTGAAATATGGCTAGAACAAACTGAGATATGCTTTAAGCATAAAATACGTATCAGTTTGTAAAGGCTTAGTACAAAAAAGAGAAAATAAAATATATCATTAATATTTTATAGTGATAAAATGTTGATAGTTTGGATATATTGGATAAAATATATTAAAATTAATCCACTTAACGTCTTTAATGTGGCCATTAGAAAACTTGCAATTAAATACATGGCTCACATTACATTTCCATAGGATAGTTTTGGTCTACAGTAAAGCTTAACAATCACCAAAAATGCTGATCTTTCTAGACATTTTCATCACTGCAGGGGAAGTCTCTCCCTGCCACCAAAGTAATTGTAAACAATATCTGCAGAAGTAAATCGCTAGTTGGGCTGTGGGACTCAATGCAAACATACAAGGGTCAGAAGAAACAGCCTGAGGACTGCTCTACCCCTTAACATGCTACTAAAACGCTGACTGCTCCTTAGCAAGAAGGGCTACAGATTCATACGTCTTGCTTGTTGTTTGCTAGACAACTTTCCGTTTTCTTGGCATAAGATAGAAGGTAACACCTACTTCCCTCCAGATACTGTGAGGCACTTTGTAAATTATGAAGTCTCACAGAAATATGATATATTAAGGAAGTATATAATATTAACTGGCAAGTTGTTAACTGCAAACTACTACAGCAGCAAAGTTTGGATTTCAGGAGCTTTAACTATGAGAAGCAGCATGAGGAGTAAAACAGTCAGAAAATCTGTAAAAGTCTTTATAAAGTATTGACTTGTAACAGTACCAGTGATATTTTATGTATGTTAATAGTAACAGACAATGACTACATATGCTAACTTACTTTTAATTAATATTTATGATTACATTTAATTTACATTTCTAATAAGATGTTTATAAACTCCTTTCCTACAGATAGGAAGGAGGCACTTCCAACTCAGTGCAGACCACGTTCCCAATGCTGTATGACGTACTGAGACAAGAAATAAGCATCTGGCCTCTGCCCTGGTTCATGACATGAGAGCTTCTAAGATGCTTGGAATCCGGAGCGGTGAATGTATTTTGCATGCTAATGAGAGGACTGTTGGTTGGGGCCGCTAGGTAGCTTCAGGGTGAAAGCTAGTCCCAGAAAGACCCAGGCTTGATTAGAGGGTTAGAACTTTCAGCCCCACCCCAACCTCCAGGGAGGAGAGAAGGGCTGGAGATTGAGCTAATTGATCATGTCTACATGAAAAAGCCTCCATAAAAATCCCTAAACTACAGGGTTGGGAGAGCTTTGTTTGGTGACCACATGCACACGCTGGGAGGGGGACAATCCCCAACTCTGTGGGGACCGAAGCTCCTGCACTTGGACCCTGCTGGATTTCGCCCTGTGTTACTGCCTCACCTAGCTGTTCATCTGCATCTTTTATATAACTAACCAGTAAATGTAAGTGTTTCCCTGAGTTCTGTGAGCCTTCACAGCAAATTATCAAACCTGAGAGAGAGGTTGTGGGCACCCCCACCTGGTAGCCAGTCAGTCAGAAGTACAGGTGGCAGTCTGGCACTTGCAATCAGTGTCACATTGGAAGTGGGGGGCAGTCTTGTAGGACTCAGCCCTCAGCCTTTGGAGTGTGCAGTAACTTCGGGTGGTCAGTGTCAGCACTGATTAATGTGATGGGAAAACCTACACATCTGGTGTCTTGTGTGTAGTGAGTAAACAAGTGCTGTGAATAAACAAGTTTTCTTTTACCATCTCTCAGTTTCTGCACCTCTAGCATCCTCAGATGTCAGTAGGTGATGAAGGCAGATTCTTGTGTGCTAAGACCCCCACTCCTTAAGATCCAATCACCACCAACTAGATGGTCGCCCACCCCTTAAGATCCAATCACCAAACGCAGAACACACCCTACCCTTACGCCTTAAAAAAGCACTTCCTCACCCACGTGCTGCTGCTCCCTTTCTCTGAGGGCAGCCACTTTCTCTTTCAGACAATAAAATCTCTTTGTGGGCCCGTGTCTCCTGAGTCATTCTGGGGTAAGGAGGGTCGCGGCGAGATACCCTTTCATTGGTGCCATGACTTCAGATGAGGCTCTCCCATTGACTCTGCTCTTCCTCTGGGAACCTGAGCTGCTCTGGGAACCCTCACTGCCCAATCCTCCTCCACGGGCTCACCGCCCATTTCCCCAGTTGCTCAACTTCTTGCCCAACACCGGCCTTCAATTTGGTAAGTCTCCCCTTCACAGTCGACTTAAATGTCCTTTTGGAACCTGGGAAGTGACCGTTGAGTGTCTGGCACCCCCAAGGACTCCTCCGGGACAGGGGCACCCCCAACCATGACTTTCAGAGTCATGGTTGATCCCCATATTCGACCCTTCTCTGCCTCCCCATGGTGAGAATCCTCATTCACTGAGGCCCGGTCTCCCTTTATCTACTCATAAACTCCTGGTGCCAGGTACCAAGCCTCCTCGGCGTTTTCACCTTGACTGCTCAGTTAGAGGTGGTGACGACCCCCTAACTGTATCTGGTCTTCTCCGCAACCTTCTCAATTGCTCTGGGACGCCTCAGTGACTCTGAACGGTTTCATTGTCACCATGGGATCTGGCCCCTCCATTCCCGCAGATTCACCACTAGGGTGCTTACTCAGTAATCTAAAACCCCTCCACCTCACTCCAGACCTCAAACCTTTAAAGCTTATTCGCTACTGTAATGAGATCTGGCCAAAATATTCCTTGGACAATCAATCTAAATGGGCTCCCAATGGCTCTTTAGATCCTAAAATTCTCCATGACTTATACAACTTCTGTGAGCACACAGGCAAATGGAAAAAGATCCCATATATCCAGGCTTTCTCTTACCTCTGAACCAAGCCTGCTCTCTGTCTCCCTTGCAATCCTAAACATCTTCTCCTTGCTCTAAAAAACTTCACCCCACCACCCACCAATTCCCACCATGTCCTCTGACTTTGACCCTGCTGATGAACCTCCTCCATACTGATCTCAAACCCCTACAGCTCCCCATCAACCACCAGTTCCTCTCCCACCCCAATCTCCTTCTCTGCAAGATCAAAATCCCAACCCTCCCAGCTCCCCTAGTGCCATTGCAGGAGCCACAGCACCTCCACCTCCACCACAACTAGTTCCCCTTCCCTCACCCAGTCACGTGCCAAGCCCTCCAGTCACTCACTCTCGAACCCAGATCCTAGCCCAGCTATGGGAAGTAGCCAGTACAGAGGGCGTCGTCCGGGTCCATGTCCCTTTCTCTCTCTCTCTCTTTGACCTATCTCAAATTGAGAAAAGAAGAGGCTCTTTCACCTACAACCCAGCTACTTACATAAAAGAGTTCCAGTACCTAACTCAGTCATATGATCTTACCTTTCATGATATTCACATGATCCTATTCAACACACTTTTGCCTGAGGAGTGTAGGCAAGTCTGGGAACAGGCTAGAACTCATGCCGATGAGGTTCACCAAACTACTCCAGCTCATCCAATTGGTGCTGAGAGGTTCCTGACCGAGACCCTAATTGGGACTATCATACAGCAGAGGAAGTCACCAGTCGAGATCAATTCATCACCTGCCTCATGGTGGGTCTCAGTAAGTCAGCCAATAAAGCCATTAACTATGAAAAACTCCAAGAGGTTATATAGGATAAAAATGAGAATCCCTCTATGTTCCTAGACCACCTCACCAAAGCTCTTTTACAATATACAAACCTAGACCCTGAGACCCCAGATGGGAGACAATTATTAATGACCTACTTCTTCACCCAGAGTTTCCCCGACATTAAGGCTAAACTTAAACGTCTAGAGAAGGGACCCTAAACTCCTCAGGCAGAAGTCCTGGCAGTGGCCTTCAAAGTATATAATGGAGGAGATGAAAAGGCCCATAAACAAAAATATCAAATGCTGGCTAAGGCCTTTCAACCTACCCCAACCACTGGTGCTCGGGTTTCCTCACTCCCTAAGAAGCAGCCAGGAGGACTCCTGGTCCATGCTTCAAATGTGGTCAAAGGGTCATTGGGCCAGAGCCTGCCCAAATCCCCAGAAGCCCCCTGGTCCATGCCCTAAGTGCCATCAGGAGGGACACTGGGCTGTTGACTGTCCTCGCACACCGAGAGGTGCCAGGCCATCCAGCTCTAACACTCCACACATAGACCTTCTGGGTCTGGCAACTGATGATTGAGGGGTCCCGGGACTCCTCCGCCCGACCACTACCATCACTGTACAGGAGCCCAGGGTAACCATTGTGGTAGTGGGTAGGCCCATCTCTTTCCTTTTGG